TATACTTTCTCCATTGATCTGAGTCTGCCAAAAACTGTGGCTTACATCCAAAACTGAACAGTTCTGAATTTAGTAGTCAAGGAATGACCTTCTCAAACCATGTTTGATGACACTGTTAAAAATTTTTGACTCTGCACAAATCTTTAACATGTTTGATTTTATTATGACTATGTTGTTATCCCAATCGGTTGTTGTCAGAATTCTTTCAATAATGTCTAATTTTGCTGTCTGGTCAAATTTAGCTTTTACTTTCTATATGTATTTGTGGTGGCAGGCTGGAACCTGTATCAATATATGATATACTCAGGATGTATATCCTAGTAGATTCTAGTCCCTTTAAAAACCTCATTGAATTCTTTAAGAATATATTTTGCATCTTGTTTTGTAGACTAGTAGACTACTCATTTGATCATCTGTATTTGCAGACTGTTCTTCAACGCAAATCTGGTATTTGTGTTGCATAGTTTCAAACTCTAGTGACTGCTATCTCTTCTTATATAAACAGGCCAGTGTGGCTCTGCCACATTGGCTCATTTTGTGTGCATTATCAATCATGCTTTTTATTTTAACAGAGTGCTATCACTGTATATACTGCACTCAGCTCCAGTGCCTATTTTGAAATCTATGTTTGGTCATCTATTTCTTTTGTCAGAAACAGGTCTTTTGCATAATCTTGTGTAACACCAACAAGATTATACAAAATCTTGCGTCGGCAGGATCAAACTGGGAACCTCTGGAGCTTAGTTCATGAGCCTCTACCACAAGAGCTAAAAGCCAGCTGCCTGTTAGCTGAGGCTCGAGCAAACTCATTAATCTCTCTCTCTAAGTGGTCTTGGTGCCACTAGATGGGACAGAACACCACACCAGGAGGTGTGTGGATTACACTTGCACTGTAAATGTTATTGAGACCTAATCAGGAAACTCTGTTTCTACATCATCACCATACGGCTTTCTCCTTCAGCTGTATATTTGTTAACGTATTTTGCCTTTGTATTTCTTTTGCAATTCACGGCATTCTCTTGCAGAATGGTTGCTCTTTTGTTGGACAATTTGCATCATATACTCTGGTTGTTTTCACATTTATTCCAAACAAATATAATCTTTGCCATTTATTTATTCTGCCTCTGTGCCTCAATGAACATTTTTAATTAGATGCAGTTCTGTCCTTTCATTGGTTGCTTCTCAATTCATTTGGGAAGCATAGTTTACATTAGCCATTTAATTACTGTTCTTTGCAAAGGTAAGTTCTTTTCTTAATCCTACTTTGAACTGGTTATCAGTAATACCACAAATAATTTACTCTCTAATTAGTCCATCTGTTAACTGTTCAAAGTCAGGTAACTAGGTTTGATTACTTGTGTCTGTGATCGTTATCATTCACATAATGATCTCACCTGGCAGCTGGTGTCTTGTAGTGAGAATGTGCCTTTCCCAAGTGACATTCTTGTGTGGATCAAAATATTCTTGACATTTTTGAATGACTTGGTCTAGTTTGCTATTGGTGGAAATGTGTTGTAGATCTCCAGTATCTATCGCCTTGGCACATGTAGCAGTGTGGAGGATTTTACCCTCTGCAGTATCTCTTCATTACAACTTGGAAGAAATAAAGTCGTAAGCATTGGCAACATTCCCAAGTAAAATTATGAACCCTCATTTTATGGAAACCTTGGAGGATATATGAAAACTCAGTGAAAACTGGAGATTTGACTAAATGGAGGTTGCTGGAGAGCTTCAGTTCTGCTCTACAGTCTGAAGTTACTCTGTGGCTGTGTACTGTATGGCTGTGTCTACAGTAGAAAAGAAAGGTGTTTTAAAAATTTTTTTACAAAGAGAGAGCTATTTTATTGTAAAATCCTAATGTAGACAAGGTAGCTTTATGTTCCTGTACATGGTCAAGGTAATCCATAGGTCCTTCTCTGCCCCCAGGGTTTACCTCCATAAGCTACATTGAAGTAAAACTACCATTTTGTTGAGGTTGCCTTGTTTACACCTAGATTGTACAAGAAGAGGACTGACAGGAGATAGTTATCTTGTTTAAATAAACAAACAAAAAATCAAAACCAGACCAAAACCCAACATCTTGTTTGCTAGTGAAGGTAAACTGTAGAAGACTGAAGCTGCCTACTTAACTTACGATATTGCGGAATTTGAGCATTCCGCAATATTATGCTTCTACTGCAATTTTGACAACAGGAGCCTCGCCATGTACGGGACTGACAGTGGGAGCCCTGGCCACCCCAGGGCTGAGAGCAGAAACTCCCCGCTCTCAGCCCCTGCTGGCCGACAGCAGAAGCCTCCACTCTCAGCTCTGGGTGGTTGGCGAGAAAATCATGGGAAAGTAATAATGGACTTTATTACTGCAAATAATAAATTATTACTTTTCCATAATTTTGCATGACTTGTCCGCAACTCAGCTGCAATTTTTTAACAATCATCCCTCAATTCAAGTAGGGCCTTACTTATGAGGTATCTAAGTTCTGCATGGTTAGATTTCTGCTGAGCTACGTAGCACTGCTCCTACAAAATTCACCTTCAGAGTTGTGGATCTTCAGTGCTACTCACGTTATAAATTTTTGACTTGCTCAATAAAAAACATTCTTCAGTATAGGCAATACAGGGAAATAAGCCGTTCTCAGTTAACCAGGAGTTTAGGTTACTCAGAGTTTAGAGAGTAGGGATGAATTGTAATTACATGTGGCTAGGCAAGCCATTCATTCAGTTTTAAGATGGACAGTCCTGTTTTTGTATGGTTTGTCCACATCGAGTACTGACATAAAACTGGAAGTGGTTTTATCTGCTATCACACACAGAAGATACCATTTTATAGAGCATGACACTCTGTCCTCTCTGGTGTGGCTTGCACACACAGTGTGTGCGAAATCATGCTGGCAGGTGGGGCAACTGAGGGGATGTCCTGTTTTCTGGAGATGCAGCAGTGGCCATCCTACATGCTGTACATCATTTACTGATTACAGCCCAACATTTGAGAGGCCCTAATCTCATAGAGAACATTTCTTGAGAATTGTTTAAGATTATGCAATGACTCTGTTTTATTATTTTTAAAGTAAAAGTTCATGCTCTCATTTAACTATTTCTGTTTTTTTTTTATTACTAGAATTATAAGCATTCATGGTTAAAATTCATCTCTGGTATAGCTCTGTTAGCTGTAATGGAGTTACACAAAGGATTTATTTGATCCTTTCCTCTTGGATTGCAATCAGGGCCACAGAGTGTAGTTGTTTCAGATCTAAAGTAAATCAGGTTGTTTGAAATTGCTGGATCAAACTCTTAATCCTCTTTGGACAACTGTTCATTTAGAAAACAAAACAAAACAATGTTCCATTACTTTTAGGCTGAGCTAAGCTACTTCACTTTTTTATCTAGCTCTCTCATGCTAGCTAGTGACAGTTTAAGAATCCATTATCATATGGATTTATGATTATGACACTTATCGGGTGGATGGGAAATGTTATCAGCAGAAACCAGAAAGAAATACTTTGATATTACTGAATGGATTCTCACCTTCATTTGTCATAGAGATCTTGGCTCAGGCGCTATTTAACTAATTCAGCAATAATAAAGAAATCTTATAAGATATGCGTTTTCAACATTTTACCACCTTTTGTTTAAAAGGATCACTTTCCTGTGATAGTTCTGGCTCATGAGACTGAAATGTGTGTTGCAGTGCACTGACTTTAGAATCAGTATTGTGGAAAAGGCAACTTCATTTCAGCTGCCTGATTTTACACAATAAAGGGAAGATAGGTACCAGTGATGCACTGTGGATATTTTAACAAGGGGCTCTCCATAAATTTTACCCCTTAGCATGTGATTAATTCTGTGCCCTTTGAATACAGGAGCTACAGAAAAAGAAGTGCGGAACTAGGGAATCTATTAATATTTTCATTTTAAACAAAAGCTTTTTCACATAATAACAACAACCCAGGAGTGTAATCAGCACCATTGGTAAAAGAAGTCTATATTAACCTGCCCATTCCTGGCAATGATTGTAATTTCTCCCTGAAAAATAAATGAATATATTATATATGTAGCTATAGTCCATTGTTCAACTTGTGCAGTTTGAAAAGAGAGGGAGATGGCAGTGTGAAGGTTCTGGAGGGATTTGTTGCAGGAGGGTTGCCCTCTCTCTGAGAATTCTGTTTTTAATACCTGAAGCTTGGTGAAATCTGATCTAAATGCAAAAACAAACCAACCCAACCCTTTTCAAACTATTTTGAGGAGCCCAAGGGGTAATTCGTCTCTTGGATGGTTGCCTGAGCAGCATCCAGTGAAGGAGTGAACTCATCATAGCGGGATGGTGGACTTTTAATCAGGGTCTCCTGGGAACCCTCCTGTAGTTGGTGGAAGTCTGTTCTGAGACATGGGGCCTGATTCTCTGCTGTCCTGCCTCTTGTGTAGTCATTTACACCATTGCACAATGAATGTAAAACGCTACCATCCTGACCCAGTAGTATTTTAAACTCACCTTGCACTGGCACAAATAACCTACACATGGTGCAAGGTAATGATGAATCAGGCCTATATTTGCAAAAATTAACAGGCTCTAGAGAACCTCTTTTGTAATCTAAGTGCTGCTGAGCATCTTTTGTAACATGCATTGCTTCAACTTGTAGAGAGGAGAAAAAAAAAGTACAAAAGGAGAAATAGGAAAGTAAAGCATGAAATATAAGGTGATGTACTCCTGGCACCAACTCTTTTCTGGTTTTGTAGACTAATATCTTATACAATTGTTTATCTGAAATTATCTGCTGTATTTTTAAAAGATCTCTATGTTTGAACGAATGCAGATCAATGACTGCAAGTGATATTTCCCCCTCCATGCTACGGGAGCTGATGTGGGTTTGGTTTCTTAATAAACTTTATATATTGTCAAGTAAAATCATTATCTTGGCTGATCTCCTTAAAGGTCTGTCTTTTCTTTTCTTTTCTTTTCTTTTCTTTTCTTTTCTTTTCTTTTCTTTTCTTGGGTTCTTCCACAGAGGGCAAAGGGAAAAGGAGAAATGCTCTTCATGACTTCAAAAAGACAGGCGAGACTATGCTAATTAAATCAGACCTATCACTAGTGGGAAAAACCAAGCTGTTAAACACGACAGAACAATGTGCCAAGAGATGCAGCAGGAATAAAGGTTTTCCGTTCCCTTGCAAGTAAGTTATTACATCTTTGATATTTTTGTTTCATTATTAAAGTGACCTCTAGCCATGCACATCACTTACATTGACATCCGTGGGACTGCCATCTTGGATAGAGTGTATATCCTGAAGTTTGTGTTTTGACAGCTGTGATCTTGCTCTTCATGGTCAGAGATTCTCTGGTCTTCTCAAACCCTTAACGTGAAATTGGAGAGTTGTTCTGATTTCTTTAACAGTGCAATCTGTAATTTTTTTTTTTTTTGCACACTAGATCTGAAGAAATGTGCTCAAATTAAGATGTGGATGGCTTGTTTTAGATTTGTTTTTGTTAAAGATGAGTGTCTGAGTTTTCTCAATTTCTCCATTGCTTATAAAATGGTTATTACAGCTGCAGCACCACTTTAAGCCATATTCTGCCTTCATTCTTTACATGTTACTCATGTTGACTTCAATGGGAATTCCACACATGGAACACAGTTAAGTGCATGGCTGAAGTTCATTGGCATATACATAGAATCTCTGGTACAATGGGATCAAACATTTTGGGCTCCATAATAATTACAATGGAAAACTCTAAGTGATAAATATCCTGAGGTGCCTGCTGTCTTTTTTTCAACACATCATGCTGCTGATTGCTTCCCTGCCTATTGTAATGCTTGATCTATACTCTCTTTTGGAATAAAACACACTATTTTGCCCACTATGCACTGGACCTGAATTTTCCCTCTGGCCTGTGTTAATCTATGGCTGTGACTACAAATGAAAGAAAATGATTGCAGAGGAGAGATGCAGATAACTCCTGTGCTGGAAAATGGGATCCACCAACACTGATGGCAGTGGAAGTTTTACTATTGACTACAAATGGGACCAGGATCAGATGCTTTATTTAGAGAACTCCCTTGCAGAAACAACAAAGAGTCTGGTGGCACCTTAAAGACTAACAGATTTATTTGGGCATAAACTTTCATGGGTAAAAAACTCACTTCTTCAGAAGCTCATATAGAGCCTGGTCCTTCTCCCACGAAAGTCATCAACAGTGGTGCAAGTTCTGGCCCCTAAGTTCATTAGGTCTGATCCTTTCCCCCACCCCACTGTCTTGCCCCTTGTGTACACCTGTGAGAAATGAATGCCAGGGGGTGTAAAATGCTTCCTGATGAGAATGGTAGGTAGCATGTTGCACCCAACTGACACTCACTTTTCACATGGTGTAAATGACTTTGGGCTTAATTCTGTTCCCACTGAAGTAAGAGTCATAACTCCCATTGTCTTCAGTGGGAACTGGATCAGATCATACATAAGATTCAAGACAGCATGGGATCCTGCCCATTGAGCTGAGCTGAAGGAGTGCAGATATGGGGCCCACAATAAAATTACTTAGGTTTCATAATATAAAAATTATTTCTGAACTCTGCCAGACTTTGAACAATGCTAAATTCCTACATCTGCTCAGGAAAATTGCTTCAAGCATTCATGAGTTGTGGCTGCTCTGGCTGTTGTGTCCTGAAAGTAGGTTAATACATGTGTGTTATTTTAATCCATTATGAAAAATAATCTAGAACTGCTCATATTTTTTCATTACTTTCTCATTTGTGAAGGATTTTCCATCACGACTGTGGCTGTTGCGTTCATTCAGAGGCAAATCCTTTGCTCTGTGCACAGCATGAGTAAAAAGGCTGCATACTGGGGAGATATACAAGGGCTTGGGAGGAGTGGGGGATGGGAGGAATCCTGCGTCCAGCTGGCAGAGTGGCAGCACTGTCCTGCTTCTGATGTTTGCTTGCTTCATGAGCTAGAATGAATCGCAGATCTGCCTAATCATGGATCCACAGGCCCTGCATCTACTGCTTCCCTAGGCTGCCACCAAACTCCCCCTCCACAGTGTCAGGCAGAGATTTCCATTATGCACAGCTCTATGCACTGTCGGAAAATGCACGGTTCTTGCCTCGGCTCCCAGAAACCAGCCCTCTCATCCAGCATTAACTGGACTGATTTTATGTATCCAGGGCCCTCAATTGGTATGTCTTGGTTTTGGCCCTAAGTCAATTGATATAGCATTTGGCCCTAAGCATTGATATAAAGTGCACAGAGGGCGACATGATTTCTTTAATGCCAGTGAAAAATAAATATTTAGAAATAAATATAATTATAACTTTCCCCTTTAGAGTTGGGAGCCCAATCCTCAGCATTGTGCTAGAGTGTGACAGTCAGAAAATGAAACTGACTGTGTACATAAGATAAAACTGTCCGGTCAAGCTGTGAGACTAATTTACTTTTTGGTTCAATGTTAGTTCCAATAATAATAATAATAATTAATAATAAAAATAATTTTGGGGAGTGTAACAGCCCTGAGAATGTGATCAGGAAAAGATTGTTAGAATCCTTTGTGTGGAGAGGGCAAAAGCTAGACTAGAAGATATCCAAGATGGAGCTGGAGGAGGAACTCAAGGAAATGGCTGTAAATGATGCATTCAGTGAGTTTAGAAGTGAAGAGAAGAAGGGAAATGAAAATATATTTGGAGAGGCAGATGGGGATCAATAGTTGAATTTTTGTGAGAAAAGAGGAGATCAGATATGACATATTTAGGAGAACTGGGCAGAAGAGAGGCTGAGGAAGGGGCAGAGGGATGAAGGTTAGCAGTTTGGAGGGGTTGGAGTCCAAAGAACAGGTAGTTAGAGAAGGGATGAGAAATGTTGGTGGTGGTGACAGGGGAGAAGATGAAGGGGAGGGAGATTGCATCTTATCTTGTAATATTTTTTCTTTGAAAAAGGCAATGAAATCTTGCAAAGAGACAGTGGTTTGGGGCACTACGAAATGGGGTATTTTAGGAAGGAGTCAAAGATTTAAAAAGTCTATTAATAAGGCTGCAGAAATAGTGGGAGTCAGTAGAGCTGGAGAAATGGTGCTATTCTGGGAAGGAATAAAGCAGAACTGAAGGAGGAGTGGACAAACCTGTAGCGAAGGAAGTCTGGTTGGTCATGAGATATTCTACAATAGGGCTGGGTAGCACCAGAGCAGAGTGAAGAAAGCAGATATTGGAGAAGAAAAGGGCTGAGATTAGAGGGATATACTTTGTGGTGGAAGAGAAGGGGCAAAGAAGTCAGCAGTGGAGTGGAACGAAACAACAGCAAAGGACAAGGATGGGAGGAAAGGGGATTATCATAATCGAAATTATTAACAATAATATTCCTGACTCCACTTTGAGCTTCCATTTATCTTTAAGCAACATGAGTGAAATACTTACTACATCCCTGTGAGGCATGCAAGTTTCAATTAATGTTTTGAGATCCTGGGGTGGAAGATTTTGTATAGGTACACAGTATTGTCATTATTTTCAAGTTAATCAGCCACATTCATATCCAGTGTAAGTCCACAGAATTGAAGTCAACTAAATTGCATCTAATGACATGAGGAATGAATTTGGCCTGTGGGGTTCAATGCAGTATATCCCCCTCTTTCTTTCCACACCTCTTGTAGCAGAAGGGAATGTCTTTTTTAGAAAAGAGCACAACTGAGGCTTCATGTACTGCCTCAGCCACATTAGTCTTACTTTTAAAATAGAGATTTTTAATGACAAGTGCAATCTGAGATTAGTGCAAGCAGCAAAACTGGTATTTAGTGCTACAACTGCAGTGGGGGAGGTTTAGATTGGATATTAGGAAAAACTTTTTCACTATGAGGGTGGTGAAACACTGGAATGCGTTACCTAGGGAGGTGGTAGAATCTCCTTCCTTAGAGGTTTTTAAGGTCAGGCTTGACAAAGCCCTGGCTGGGATGATTTAACTGGGAATTGGTCCTGCTTTGAGCAGGGGGTTGGACTAGATGACCTTCTGGGGTCCCTTCCAACCCTTATATTCTATGATTCTATGAACCACAACCACTTAATTTCTTTGTTTCTGAATGCTTGTCAGCACAATTGTGGGTTAAATACCAATTTGGGCTGCTTCTGTGCATTTCCCAGTAAAAATAGATGTATTGTCATAGTATATTCATTGATATGCCATCTATCATTGCTGTAAACCATGTAGGATTCCTTTCCTTATCGAGATTTTCGTTTCAGGGCCTTTGCTTTTGACAGAGCTACAAAACGATGCCATTGGTTCTCTTTCAATAGCATGACGAATGGAGTGAGGAAAAAGCAAGACCACGCATTTGATCTATATGAAAAGAAAGGTAACTGATTTATTCCCCAAGCACAGAGAAGGGAGTCAGCAAGTGACCTTTAGGACTGTGTGTCTTGCCTGAAGAAAGGATGGTTTATGCATTCGAGGAGTTGATGTGTTGTGCCTTAAAACTCTCTGTTTACAAGATGCCCTTTATCTTTGCTGAGATGCACAGCACAGTGATGGACTGTACATTTAAGAGCCTGAGTTGTGTGACCTTTGGTATTTATGTATCATATTATGTGCTGGATTGCACTGCCGCTTACTTTACTACTTAAGGGCCTAATCCAGTGGGTTATTGCCATAGGATTGGGTGCTGTTCCTGTTTGGGTCACTGATGTCAGTGTGCGTTGAAAGTGCTCAGAATCTGCTTTTGGTAAATGAAAAATCGTAATTACCTTTTCAGTAGCATTTTTGATAGTGTTTAGGATTAAGTATTTTGAAAAAAAAGGCACTTCTTTGTGGAAACACTAAAAATTATGACATGACATTATAATTGATTTTTAGCTTTTGCACAAAAAGCTGCATGCCTTTCTAGAAAAAAAACAAAACATAAAACTTTTCTGGAAAAAAAAAGGCTACTTTTTCAACAAAAATCTTTTTAGTTTGAAAAATGTTTACCAGCTCTAATTTTCAACAAGTAAACAAGACTTTCCACTAGGTTCTTATTTTTTCCCTGTTTTCTTCCAACAGACTACATTAGAAACTGTATCATTGGTAAAGGCGCAAACTACAAGGGAACAATATCTGTTACCAAAAGTGGCATCCAGTGTCAGGCATGGAATTCTATGATACCTCACGAGCACAGGTAAGCATAGTCTGAACATAAGAAGGGCGGACTCTCTTGGAACTCTGCTGGTATTCTGTACATTAAAGTTAAAGAACATGGAATACAAACATGTATGGTGGGGTGTAGCTCCTGATTCATTTTTAATTTTACAAATGAGTATTGGGTCTTTGACCCTACTCCTCTTCCAGAACTTCAGGCATTTCACCCCCTCAGTCTCTGAAATGACCTTTCCAGTTACCAACCTATATTTAAAATGAAGGATTTTTGGGATAGATGGTAGACCAGATTCTGAATTCAGTTATGCCATTGAGTAGCTGAATTGCTCCATTGAATTCTGTAACCTAGTTATGGCCTAATTCATATCCCAGATCAAACAATTAAAGAAGTCTGAGGATCTACAAACTTTCTCTGCCCGTGATCCAAAACAGTCATATTCTCTTTTGCCAGGGCCCCAAGTTAATTATCTTTTATAGATGCAAATTTTAAATATTGAGATTACTTTTAACAATCATAAATGCCCCAAGGTAGCATGATGGTGTATATTTCAGAAATGCAGGGGGTGAGGGGGGGGGGGGGGCTACAGAGTGCTTTTTTGTGCTTCTGGCTGCTGCTGGGTAGATGCTGGGCTGGGTGGAGAGAGTTGGGGTGTATTTCTGGAAGGAAATTGCTACTGGGGGTTGGGTGGAGGTAAGTGCTGCTGCACGAAGATTACTCAGTGGAGGATGCTGCTTCTGGAATGCACTGAGTGGAAGCGTGGTGGTTGATGAGTGTAGGATTTCTAACCTGCACCACAGTTAGCTCTGAAGGAAGGTGCTGATTAAAGGTGTGTCCAGCCAGCTGAGTCTTACAGCTGAGGGCAGTGAAGAGAGGACAAATGATGAGAGGTGAACAGAGGGTGGGAGCAAGGAGCTGTATTAGGGCTGCTCAGGAGGATTATAGAGCAGTCTTTTCCTTTCTTTCTGCTGATGGCCCTAGCATTCAAATCCAACCAATCCATCTAACCAATTAGGCTATTTCTTTTTTAAATGGGAGTTAATCACACTGGAGTCATAATACCAACCCTGGGAACCATCAAAGTCTCTATATATTTTAAAGTCAGTGTATCATATGTTTACAGCTATCTATACATGTTATGGATGAGATGATCCATTAGATATCCCTTCTAGACATTAGAGATCTATAATCTGATGTTAAAGATGCAAGAGCTAAGTTCTGTCCTCATTTACACTGAGAAGTGAAGTTACTCCAGATTTACATTAGTGAACAGTAATCGAGAACAGAATTTGTCCCTTAAATTTGCAGGGCACTGTAAAATTTTGCAAAGCCAATCTTTTGACTTCCCCCCAGGCCTTTGGGAAAGGGATAGTTTTACAAATATAGAGTGGCAGGTTTGGGGATGTTAGCTTATCAGTTTTAGGTGCTTACAATTGTTTTTATAGTTTGGTTCATGTTGCAAATCTTGTGGATTGTAAGCGTTGTTAAAGCACCTCGAGCCTAGGATACATATTTGAAATCAATAAACAAACCAATGAATAACTTCCCATTCATTTCCAGAGGAGCATTACCACTCTGACCTTTTAAGAACGGTTTAGAAACTAACCTCATTCATGAGAGAGGTTCTCAGAGGAAGTTGGCCTTAAAGCAGAGTTACATGCAATTTGTAGAGGATTTGAGGGTACTGGCTATCGTTTTTAGAATTAGTCATAATAAATGCACACAGAATTGTTTTGGTTTATATTTCCTTTCAGATTTAGGATTACATATATAATATATAAAATTAAATAATAACACAGCAATAATTGGAGAATGGTACAGTAGCTATGGGACTTAATTCTTGAGCTTAGGGCCTGATCCTGAAAGGAACTCAGAGTCCTTAGCTCACACAGCACCTGAGACTTCAGCACTCAGCACCTTTCAGAATTATTCTCAGATACTACTTTCTTCGGCGTCAGTGGAAAAACTCCCATTGACGTTAGTGGTAGCAGGATACAGGAACTCGGTTTACTGTAAATGTATTTGGTTAATATCTTTAGCAGTTTTACTTTTGCATTGTAGTAATGAATTTGGATGGCCACTCATCTGAGAAGCATGCTGTGAAGCTGACTTCCTCCCGCCTTACGCAATAGATTTTGTTTGAAAAGGTCACGATAAACAAGATGGTCGCATGCTAATTTTGTTTCTCAACATCAAAAAATGTCATCATTGGAGGCTTGAGTGAGATGGGACAGAAGCAAAGAGTGGAGTGTTTGGAATTTACTAACATGTACGGTGGAAGTTATTAGGTCACAACATCTGGTTATCACAAGGTGGCATTTGTGATGGAAAAAAAATAGGTTTACTAATTTTGCATAAGTTTTTCCTCAAAACTTGTACTTACTCCAGACTCTGGAAGGTTGTGCTTTGATGTTAAAATTATTATGCTATTGTTATTGTTATTACTCTATATGCCAGTTGTGCCTAGAGGCCCCAACCAAACCTGGGGCCCCATTAGGGTTGCCAACTGTCTAATCACAGAAACCCAAACACCCCTGCCTCACCCCTTCTCTGAGGCCCCAGCCTGCTCACTCCATCCCCCCTCCCTCCGTCACTCACTCTCCCCCACCCTCACTCACTTTCACCCGGCTGAGACAGGAGGCTGGGTAGCAGGACGGAGTGCAGGCTCTGGGCTGGGGCCAAGGGGTTTGGAGTGTGGGAGGGGGTCTGGGCTGAGCTTGGGGCAGGGGGTTGGGGTACAGGAGTGGGTGTGGGGTGCAAGCTCTGGGAGGGAGTTTGAGTGCAGGAGGGGGCTCCGGGCTGGGGCAGAGAGTTAGGGTGCAGGAGGGGGTGTGGGCTCTGAGAGGTAGTTTGGGTGCAGGAAGGGGCTCAGGGCTGGGCCAGAGGATTGGGGTGCAGGAGAAGGTGCGGGCTCAGGCTGGGCGGCACTTACCTGGGTGGCTCCCAGTCAGCAGCACAGTGGGGCTAAGGCAGGCTCCCTGCTTGCTCTGGCCTCATACCACTCCCGGAAGTGGCTTGCACACTCCTGTGGCCCCTGGGGTAGGCAGGGGGCTCCACGCGCTGCCCCTGCTTGCAGGTGCTGCCCCCACAGATCCCATTGGTCGCAGTTCCTGGCCAATGGGAGCTGCGGAGTCGGTGCTTGGGGCAGCGTGCAGAGACCCCCTGTCTGCCCCGCCCCCAGGGGCTGCAGGAATGTGCCAGCCACTTCTGGGAGTGGCACGGGGCCAGGGCAGGTAGAGAGCCTACCTTAATCCCATTGTGCAGCCGAACTTTTAGCACCCTAAAGTCTCCCGTATTGGCTTCAGTAGCCTCTGGCAGATAGGGCCTGATTCCGGGAGACTCCTGGCAAAACCTGGAGGGTTGGCAACCCTAGGCCCCATTGTTCTAGGCACTGTACAAATATAGAACAATGACATTTCTTGCTCTGAAGAGATTACAAATTAAATAGACAAGGCAGACATGGGCAGGTTCAAAGAGATACAGGAGCAAAATGAATGGAGTGATGGTTTGCAGGCTTCTTGTTCGTTCCAGAATGACTTCATCAGTGGCTGAAATTGCTTCTTTAGCTACTCCTGCTGGCTTGTGTTTCTGGCTTGTGTTCCTGAAGATTCTTTCTTTTCTGAGCTCGCATGACTTGGGGAGAGGTTGTGCTACATGGGTCCGAGTGAACAGTTCTGTGTCTGAAGAGGGCTAGCCCTGGCTGGTTCTCATCTTTCTCTCTTCCCACCATGGTGCTGTAGTACCTGCTGATGCTGCTTGTGCATCTTCTTCTGCCAGCTTGGATCTCTACGTAATGCTGTACAGTATGAATGATTTCAGAAATGGTTTTGATCCTGATCCTAGGGTAATTTGGATTGACTGTTGCCAGGCTTTTGTAATGGTTATTTTTGAGCTGAGAGACTCTCTGATGGTAAAATAATAAATGAAATATGGTAAAATGAGAAAAATGATTCTCTCCAAGGACCAAGAAAAGGAAAAACTCCCATTAAATTATGTTACAACATTGTGCTGATTGCAACCAGGATGTGAGTAACAGGGGTATTTTCCACCTCAATCTGTTCCAAGACTTAATTAACCAAAGGTTAAAAAAAGACACAAAATACATTTTTGGTGGTGTGGGAGTGGGCAGGGATTTTCCTTTTTTCCCCCTTTTGTTATTCATTCATACCATGCAGTTATCCAATTGAGGCAGCAACTGTAAGCTGTTCTTGTACTTCTTGTCTGAGTTGGATCAGTTCTGCTGTATGAGTGCAACAACTGGTTAATTCAGTTTAAAGAGTAAGATGCAAGTGTAGTCTCTTCTAAATTGGGGATTTGCACTGATGACAGTCATAGCACTTCTGTAACCCCCTTCAGAGACAAGCAGAGTAGCTAATTAGCTCTGGAGAATTTACCCCAGTTTCAAGCAGGGGTAAGCTCTACTAGTGCAAATAGTGTCTTTTCCTGTCTACACTGGGAGTTTCACCAGTCCTGCTACATCAGTGGCTGTAATTAGAGCAAATCCCTAGTCTAGACAAGTCCTAAGATACAGACTGAAGTACTCGCTCCAAAGGGTTCATCACTAAACACAGGAAATATATTTTTTACTTTACTGCAGTCCTACCTCCCTATGGGAATGATCCAAAATCCATTGAAATCAATGGGAATCTTTCTACTGACTGCAATGACCTGTGGAATCACATCTTATGCCTTTGTTTCTCTCTCTGTATAAACCTTTTTTACTCCAAGAGTGTGTAGAAAAGCAGTTGTATTAGCTTTTTAAAGAAATGAGTCAATATAATGCTGTTGTCAAGGTTCCTCCCCCACTCTGAACTCTAGGGTACAGATGTGGGGACCTGCATGAAAAAAACCCCTAAGCTTATCTTTACCAGCTTAGGTCAAAACTTCCCCAAGGTACAAAATATTACACCCGTTATCCTTGGAATGGCCGCTACCACCACCAAACTAATACTGGTTACTGGGGAAGAGCTGTTTGGATGCGTCTTTCCCCCCAAAATACTTCCCAAAACCTTGCACCCCACTTC